AGGGAAAAATTGGTGCTTCAATGGAAAACTGTAGAGTACACCCTTCTACTCACCTGATTCTGATTCTATGGGAGCTATTTTACAACTCTAAGTTATAGATAACTGAAAGCAATGGAAAATAACTCTTGTCTGCAGTAATGCAAATGAGTTCTGTCCTGAGGAAGGACAATCCTCCCCGCTGTGGAAAAGCCAGTTTGCACCCATCGGTACATTCATTCAATCTTCCTTACTCCATATACATTTGTGCTTCTTTCATTTCTCCTTTGAACCCATTATAACATCTGCCTGGTTCCCTCATTAACCAATGAGTTAAAATCTCAAATGCATATTCATTTTATATCTGTAAAAGAGACATGATTTTACCTTTTTGTACAACATTATCCTCACACATCTCCGATCCCTCTTGAAACCTCTCCCCTAGAAAAAGGACTGGAGTAGTTCACCTTCCGCAGAGCATGTACCAGACAGGCGTGGCTAACAGGACTAGCTGAGGAGGGGAAAGTAACATTCTGGAAGTGGGAACAAAGTGGGAACCCGAATTCTGGAGTGTGGCCCTTCTATTATGGAGCTGTGAAAACCAACCCATGGACTATCTACTTCTTATCCTCTTGTTAAAACATAATAAATATTCTTAGATTAAGCCACTGCTGGTCAGGTTTTCTATACCTGTTGCTGAAAGTATTTCTAAATGATAAAGAGTTTGTTCTGTTCAGAGAATTTTGAGTAGTTCAGGATGTCTGGGTAGCAGTGTTTACAGAAGGAACTATATAATAGGACGGAAGAACGCTGGGGCTCGACCATGGGCCATATGTGCCACACTAGCCCCGTTAAGGTGTTTGGATTTAATAGCTGCTGTGGGGTCATTAAAGATCACTTAGCAGAAGCAAGCTGGCCAGATTCATGGGATGCTGATGAGCTGGGGTTGGGAGAGTGACCAGTTTTGTGAGTAGTCCAGACACAAAGTTCCTCCCAGGTTATCAGTCTCTGTTATAATTGAGAATAATATCATGCCACACAATGAAGCTTCTTCTGAAGAAATACCTTTTTAGAGATCATCAGAATGCACAGTAGCTGTTCATCGTGACTATTAAGATGGCTAGTTTCTACTTACATTGTCCTTGTACTAGCTGTATGTAACCAGAGTCTTCTAATTGCTTGAAAAACCATTCTCCCAAGTCCATATCGCCTTTAAAACTTTATTATTTTTTTTACACTGTTCAAATTGATTAGGAACGCCTGTTTACAAAGAGGGTGAAAAACAAATTCCAAGAACAACTCCCTCTTCTAAGCCTTTTTCTCATCTGCTGGACCCCAAATTCCCTTTTGGGTATCTGTACAGAACAAGTGGAACAGCACATTTTCCTTCAACTCCCCTCCCCCACCCCCAAGGTAGCTACATAAAGGAAAAGAGACAAACATTCAAGGAGAATAAAGTTAAAGTGAATAAAGTCAGTACACTGAACCCAAAGACCTGAGCCATAAGAAAAACAGCGAGCTGTATTTCAGTAATTCTATCAAGAATTGACTACCTGCTACAGCACATTGAGAGATCGGGATTATTGATCAGTAAGATTACTCATTTAAGCCTGTTCTCCCCACTTTCCTTCAGACAGGTGCAACGGAGTTGCTACAAATAACACTAAGCAAGGTCTGCTCCGTTATTTAGTTGTCATTCTTAATGCAAAACAGAGCAGTTATTTTTTTTTAATTTAAAATCAATGAATGTCTCAAAGGCAGCCTATTTACTTCAGCCTAAATGAGTCATTTGTCTTTGCAAAGCAGAACACGTGGATTATTATTCAAGGTGATGGTTGGCAATTTTTGGTTTTTGTTTGTTTGCTTTTGCTGTGGTGTTTTGAAGAATGACCATACATTGTCCTATGAACAGACCCAAATTTGTTAAAAAATGTTAAGGTCCTTTTGTAAGGCACTGTTAGGAAATTACCCATCAGCCCTATCAGTATATTTGTGTCAGTAAGATCCTTTGCTTGGGTGGAAAGAGGGGAGAAAAGTCAGAACCTGGTAACTTTGTAACTACTAACACCTTAAAATACTAGGGGTAAACACACACAGATCTTTAAGTGGAAAGGATAAAGAAATAATGCTTTTTTATTATGGATTTAATAAGCAGTGTCAGCTATGATTTGAAACACTGTTTCCCATTGTACTCATTCTGAAAATTTTCCTATTAAATATTAGAAAGCAGAGCTCAAAGGGAAATCTTCGTTTTGTTCTGCTTTTGAGCCAGACTTCACTTGGTTATCCTGTCATCCTTTTAAATGGGGTGGTGGCGGGAAAGTGGGCATTTCATCCAGAGGAAAAAAAAAGTAGAAAACAAAAATATAAAAAATCCAAAAAAACCTCACAAAGCAGAGACAAAAAATACTAGGGAGGACCACCTTGCCGGAGAACCTGTCTTTTGACAAGGGCTGACAAGGTCTGAAGCAGGCGGTGTCAAACACAATAATATTAAAGAGAAGACAAGAGGAACTTGTCTCTTCACTGTATGCGCATTTGGCTTTTCAGAGAATTAGGCCTAGTGAAAGCTGCCCCCTGGATAAGATGTGTTCCCAAGCAGCCTCGGACAAGCTGCAGAGAAGAGACAAACGGATGTGACTATGGGCCCTGGCATTTGGCAAGAACACTCACTGTCAGTTAGAAAAATATAAGCCTGGACAGGGTATCAGCTGCACAGAAATGAAGCGGGTCTGTGGTGTCACTGGAGGAGCAATCGGTGCAAATCCAGCCCTACGTGAACTTTCCCTTCTAGATCCAAATCACCCCCTCTTCCGCTTTATTCAGTGTCAATATGTCTCAACATATTAACTGAACAAGTAAACATCAGTATCTAGCACTTTTCCTTCTGTGCCAATATGCACA